CAGCTTCTAATGTGGCTAAAATAAAAAAGACAACACTAAAATTCAGCAACATTAAAAATGTGAAGCAACTGGAACTCATATAAACCACTTTGGAGAACTGTGTGGCAGTTTTTTAATAAAGTTAAACATACATCTATCCTATGACTCAGTAATTCCACTCCTAGGTATTTATCAAGAAAAATGAAAACATCTACCCACAAGAGACTTGTAAAGGAAATGTTCATAGCAACTTTATTTCTAATAACCCAATCCTGGAAAAAACCCAAACATCCATCAAAAATAAAACAGATAAAAACAGATAAAGAAATTAGACTATATTCATTCAATGGAATACTATTCCTCAATAAAAATGTACCAACTGGGGCGCCTGGGTGGCTCAGTCTGTTAAGCATCTGACTTTGACTCAGGTCATGATCTCAGTCAGGGTCCTGGGATCCAGCCCCACCCCCCAACCTCCCGCTGAGCCTTGAGCCCCCTGCCAAGCCCTGCGCTGAGTCTGCTTGTCCCTCTCCCTCTGCCCCTCCCCCTGCTTGTGCCCTCTCTCTCTCAAATAAAATCTTTTTAAAAAAAAAAAAGTACCAACCACTGATATAACACAGATCTCAAAGACATTATATTACATGAAAGAAGCCAGACACAAAAAAAGCATATACTACTGTATGACTCCATTTATGTAAAGTCCAAGACTAGGCAAAACAAATCTATGGTGTCAGAAATACGGAGCTGAAAGTGGTTGCCTCCAGTGGAGGAGAGTGGGTGAGGAAATGACTAGAAAGGGGCATGAGGGAACTTTTTACGGTGATAAAAATGTTTTTGATCTTATTTTGGTAGAAGTTACAGTGTATAAAGTTGTTAGAACTCCTTGAACTGTACATTTAACATGTGTTTATTGAATATTAATTATACCTCAATAAAAATACAAAGTAGCACTTTGCTTCAAGATATGTTAATCAGGGGGTGCCTGGATGGCTCAGTCACTTAAGCGGTTGCCTTCGGCTCAGGTCATGATCCCAGGGTCCTGGGATCAAGCCCCGCATCAGGCTCTACTGCTTAGCCAGGAGCCTGCTTCTCCCTCTCCCTCTCCATGCTGCTCTGCCTACTTGTGCTCTCTATCTCTGTCAAATAAATAAAATCTTAAAAAAAAAAAGGAAATTGCAAATTAAAAAAAAAAAGATGTTAATCATTTTGTTTCAAATGAAATTCTAGAATATGACATAATAGACACCTACACTTTCATTATTTGCCACTGAATTATTCACATCTCTATTCCTTCATTACCGCAAATAACCTAATGGATTACATAGATATTAGAATGTGTTCATGTTTAATTTTTCATAAATAGCAAATCTAGTTTGATTCTTCACAATTTCAATATGTACCTAATGGACTGTCAGAAGTCCAGTAGACTTTTCTGTACTCTATAGCCTTTTCCTCTCAATATGATTTTATAGTTGTGATTTATAGTTGTGTGGATCTGCTATAAAAATGAGAATATGTGGGGATACCTGGCTGGCTCAATGGGTGGAGCATGACTCTTGATCTCAGGGTTGTAGGTTCAGGCCCCCCACTGGGTGTAGAGATTACTTAAAAGAATAACATATTTTTTTAAAAAAAATGAGAATAAGACATATAAATCAAATGTCTTCAAAGAAAGTCACTGACAGGAGAACAATAATGCTTTAGCCACTATGACAGCCTAGAAAATAATGCCCTCCTCAATGATTTTAATTAAGACAGAGCCCATACATATTTAAATTTAAGAACAATTGAAAAGCAGGATGAACAGTTTGCCAGCTAACTGGATCTTTAAAAAATAACACAGCCTAAATAACAAGACTTATTACATTAGTAATATGTATTAGTACATCAGACTGACATCTGAAAACCCATGGAGCCCTTTTCTTCTGTTTTACTAGGTCTTCTTTTTGTCTTTCTTTCCTTCATCTTTTCCTCTCCCTCTTTTGGTCTCTACCCCAGGTATGTTTTTATCCCCACAGCCTCTCACTCTCCCTATGATATTGCTAATTGATTTTCATATAGCCAGCTCACCCCAGGTTCCAAATAAATAAATTTACAAAATTGTACTATATTCTATGTAGATTTGTCACATACTCAGAACAGTATAGAGAGTATAGCCTGGGGGGCTGGGGGTGGGGTGGGGAAGACAGTGATGACGGGTGAGTGGAAAAAAGGATGATTCTATTGTTTCGCACCTCCACAACTGTAAAAGCTCTCTCCTGAATACCTACTGCAGGCTTTTATTCCCTACACATGGCTCTTACAGTAGTGCTCTGAACTATAAACAAGCACACTTGCCTAATATAAGAGGGAGTAAGCTCCCAGACAAAAACCATGTTTTATACATCTGTATTCACTATGAGCCTAAGATAGTGCCCTGTACAGGATGGGGCAAAACACATACGTGTTGAATTAGTGAATTACTGAATTAATGGGAATGAAAACAGTTGAAGGTGGAAGAAGATGAGAGAAAAAAGCTGAGAGGACAAACCAAAGAGAAAGGAGAAAGGAAGGGGAGAGGAGACAAAAAGGAGAAAGAAGAGAAAAAACTTGTGAAGGCAATTATTTTTGTTGGAATGAAGAGGACTGTTTTTAAAAATTAAGAGTTGGGAAAAGCCATTGCTATGTATCTAATATCACAGCAATCAGCACCGGTTATTATAAACACCTTCAAACATCTCTCATCCCTTGATATTTAAAATGTGAAAGACTACAGCATTCCTTATGTGACATGCAGATTCTAAGGACCTTCTTCAACATTTATGCACGTTGAAGTCTGAGAAGCACCACCCTACACCCTTCAAGTCCTTTCTACTGTACTGACCCTGTGTTTTATTTAAATAGGCCAGTAGCTGAGACTTGAAAAATCTGATTAGAATGAAACTGATCATTGTAATGGGATGTGACCTGCACGTATTTAACTTTATATATGTATTTACCTTTAGGTGAAGTTATTAACTGCAGAATAATTTGGCCTGGAGGACAGACCACAAAACTTTAGAATTAGTCACAAAAATATGATTAAAAGAGGGGCGCCTGGGTGGCTCAGTCGTTAAGCGTCTGCCTTCGGCTCAGGTCGCGGTCCCAGGGTCCTGGGATCGAGCCCCGCATCAGGCTCCCTGCTCAGCGGGAAGCCTGCTTCTCCCTCTTCCACTCCCCCTGCTTGTGTGCCCTCTCTCGCTGTGCCTCTCTCTCTCTGTAAAAATAAATAAAATCTTTAAAAAATATATATATGATTAAAAGAAATTAAGCACTGGGACAGTAATATCCTCAGGAAATCACTTTTGTTCCTTCAGGCCTACCACAGGTCTCAGAATGACAAATGTGGCCAATGTTTCCTGAATGAATAACATAGTGAATTTTAAAAATCAGAGATATTTAGGGCTAGAATAATCTTGGGGTCATCTGGTCTAATAACCTCATTTTATTTGTTTTAAATTGTTTAAAAAAGATTTAAGAAAGGGAAAGCATAAGCAGAGGGAGGGGCAGAGGGAGACGCAGACTCCCTGCTGAGCAGGGAGCCCGAATGGGGGCTCATCCCAGGACCCAGGGACCATGACCTTAGCCGAAGGCAGACACTTAACTGACTGAGCCACCCAGGTGTCACTAATAACAAACTCTGGGCACCTGGCTGGCTGGGTAGAGCATGAGATTCTTGATCTCTGGGTTGTGAATTCGAGCCCCAGGTGAGGTGCAGAGATTACTTAAAAAAAATAGAGATGAGCAAACTAGAAATCCTCACCAGATGGAAAGTAAGCAAGCTTACAGAGTTAGAATATACTGGGTCTTACATTTTAATTCTCTTTTTGTTTCTTCCTAGAAATGAGTTAGAAAGGGGATTTTAAATATAATGACTTCGGAACTCTTAAAGAAGCAGTAGGGTAAAAGATGCCAAGGACTAGAAGGAAGAGACTAGCAAAACTGAGGCTGGACTAAACTATTTTTCTAAGCCTAATATACTGTTTTGACAGGCCAATTAATCAACCTAATCTGCCAAAAAATTAATCTGAAGGATTCTCAGAAAAAGAAAAATGAGCTGCATGAAAATGTTACAAACCAAGGGAGACCGCACATAACTAAATTATATCTCCACAGGCTTATTTCCTGTTCAAGTATGACCTCCTGGGATAAGTTTTACTGCAGTGTTCATTACCAGATGACTTTTGGTTTTAAGAGAAGCCAAGGGCAAGTTGGAAATGCGATTCTTAACTAAACATTAAAAAAAAAAAGAGAAAAAAAAGGTGCTGTTTCCCATTTGTTTGTAATTAGATTGCAGGCTTGCAGAGGAAACACACCAACTTCATAAGCAAAAATACAACGACCCAGTCACGTCCTCAAAGCAAATCAACACACAAACTTCACAGCTGAATCCAGCTGTGCTGCACAGGAGCCCGGAATTTATTTTAAGGCAGAGGATATAGATCAAAAACGGCAAATCCAAGACAAGCCAGATTTTAATCCCCCTCTCCCCGCCCGCAAAAGGGTGTGACCTAAGGTTCCCCCCCACCGCCCCCCTTTTCCTCTCTTTCTAACTTCCAACTAGCAGAAGCCTTTGAAGGAGTCTTGGGGAGAGAACCTTCTTAAGGGGATCGTCTCCCAGCTGCGCCTCGGTGGAGTGGAAGGGGCGGATAGGCAGGCGAGCTCGTACAGCTTCGGCAGGCGTGGGCTCCGGCGGGAAGGGAAGGGGCCGGTCCCGAACCCGGGGAGGCCGGGCCCCCGAGTGATTCATCAGCAACCGAGGGTTCGCGCGCCTCCACCGCGGGCAACGCCCAGCGCGCCCCACGACCCCCACCCGGGCCCGTTCGCCCCCTCCCCCAAGCAGTTCCCAACGTCTCCCCGCTCCCCGAGAGACACCGGTAAGTTAGGAGACCGGGGCCGGCGGCTGAAGGCAGCAACCTCTCCCTCCTCAGCCACCATGGCCGGTGCGCCTCCCAGCCTGCGCCCGCAGACGGACTTCCTGGAAAGCACCGGGCTGGGCTTACCTGACTGGCACCCGCTGGGGCCGCCGACCTTCTTCACAGACCGGAGGGAACGGCCTGTCCCTCGGTTCCCAGCACCCGCCCGTCCGCCTGCGTCTGCCTCCTTGGGAGTTGCCCGATCCACTCGCCCGCGGCTGCCCAAACCCGACGGCTCTGTCGGTGCGGCTGGTTCCCCCTCCGCCACGGACGCGCGTGCGCACTCCCAGGTCGCGGGGCATCCTGGGAGTTGTAGTTCCAGCGAGGAGGGCGACACTCAGCGCTGACCCTGGTCTTTGCAATCTGCAGGATGTTGGAAGCTGCTGAGGATAGTAAGTCTTACTCCAGCCGGGGACAACAATCTTTACTAGTGGAAATATCTACCCTCGACCCTTTGGGAGCTATAAACAGCAACTCGAGGCTCTTTGGTATAGATTTCCTCTTTACTTTGACTTTTACTAAAGAGGCACACAAGGCAGGGCTTGTACTGTACCCTTGTTTGCTAATGCAAGGACATGACATCGAGGCTTTAAACTCGTCATGAAAAACTGATAGAAAAGTAAAAAAGGCGAAGGCACAAAAGGGGTATAATTCAGGCAGATGTCATCTCAAGGGCGTAGTGACCCTAGTGATTTCCTTGGGCATGCAACCAGGGATGATGTCGCAGCGATAGCCCCTATATTCTCAGACAGTTTTGGCCCCAACCCATCTTCCCATTCCAGCCTCAAGCTCTACCCCAAGGGGTGAAGCTGGGTTAATATGAGTGGGAGAAAAAAACAGAAGTGCTGCTCAAAGGAGGGGCCTGGGACAGATGGGTAGCCTGGAGGGGAAGACGAGGAGAGTGGGAATACCTCAGAAGGCAGTTCCACAGTGGCCTATGAAATGGCTGCCTTTTGTGCGGGGCTCTGGGGAGAGGGAACAGCAATGGTCTTCCATTCATTCCTTTAGTCACTCACTGGTAATTTTTCTGGCCTGCTCTTCATGACTAAACCATTCCCAGGAGTCATGCTCAGCTTTGATACACCTTCTTTGAAGAATGCAGCCAGGAAGAGAACAAAGTGCCTGCTTGTGGTACATTCCAGATACTCCTGGTGTGGAAACCGACTAATGGTTAAACCTGTCCTGTCATTTACAGTCTTCCCTTCAGAGCAGGAAGCACCCTAGGTAAAGTAAATACCCTGGAATTTCATGCAACTAGTACCATTAATCCCTGAAATGAAAATCACTGATGATTTGGAGTTTTTAAGGAAAAAACCCTCCTGGGTTGCAAGTACTCTTAGAAGACTGTCAGCATTAAATCTTGTAGCCACTGCATCTTATTTTCTATAGCATTTTAGTGTTTATCAATTTCTCCAATAGTCTTGGATATAGCAGCTTTCTGAGAGCAACTTCCTATAGAATTCAGGTTCAACTAATATTGAGTACTTAATCCACACCACACACTGTAGCAGCACTTCATTTATAATATTTCATCCAATCCTCAAAATAACCCTACAGAGAATATGTTTGTATCTTCCATTTCTACAGATGAGAAAACTAAGACCCAGAAAAGTTAAGTAATTTGCACAAGGTCACACAACCATAATTGGAGAGCCAGAAATAAAGCATGGGTATCCTGATTCAAATTCTAGCATGCTTTCCACTGATGATCAGACGGATGTGTCTCCTAAATCTCATCAAATTCTTGAAAGTAAGATAATCTGTGACCACGTCCACTGTACATGAAAAGAATTGTCTCACACAGTCCAGGGACATTGTACTCTGACTCGATGAGAGATTCATTTGATCTGGATTCATTTGATAGTTCTATATTTCATTATAAATTAATATACAGGTATTTTGGCTTACCAGCAAGTGTCTTACAAATTCCTGTGACACCTCTGGGGCATCACTCCTGGGAAAACTGACAAAATGGAGTTCCTGAATAAGCAAAGCAGAGACTACAGCCATCTAGATATGGTTTGTTTTTTTAGGCATAAAGGGCTTTTATTTCAGTGTCTGATAATCTATGACATGCTTCCTCCCTGATCTTCCAATATGGGTGTTAAGAATACCTTCAATGTATTTTCTCTCTCTCTTTTTTTTTTAAGAGAGAGAGCCCACATGTGCACGGGGTGGGGGGTGTGCAGAGGGAGAGAGAGAGAGAGAATGTCAAGCGGGCTCCACGCTGAGCTGAGCAGAACACAGAGCCCCACATGGGGCTCAAACTCATAACCCTGAGATAGTGACCTGAGCGAAAATCAAGAGTTGGACACAACCAACTGAGCCACCCAGGTGCCCTTGTATTTTCTCTTCTAGCTAAGCTATTCATTTTAAATTTTTCCTAACAAATGTCTAAATCTTTTTGTTACTTTTTCTAAAATAATGTGATTTGGTGCTGGGTTTTCCCCCCCATTTCCTCCGACAAATATTAATGTATTATAACCACAAGGCTTACAGACATGAATCTCCTAAACCCATGTGATTTAAATATTACACATGGGGGGGACACATGGGTGGCACAGTCAGTTAAATGGTCAAACCCTTGGTTTTGGCTCAGGTCTTGATCTCTCAGAGATTGAGCCCCAAGTGGTGCTCCATGTTGAGCACAGAGTCTGCTAAAATTTGTCTCTCTCCCTCTCCCCCTCCCCGCCTCATGCTCTCTCTCTCTCTAAAATAAATAAATCTTTAAAAAATAAGTAAAAAATACTACACACGGGACCAGAGGTGTTAACAATCATATCCTAGTATTGAATAAAACCGTAAAAAAATAGAACCTTCCTAACTGCTTCCACTTCTGCTATGATCTATTCTCTATACTAGCAGTTTCTGATTTAAAAACAAAGATCATGTCACCTTCCTGCTCAAAACTACTCATGGCCTCTCAACACATTTCGAATAAAACTCCAAGTTACCACCCCTACAAGTTCTTATGTGACTTTATTTTCCTACCACACTCTCTCACTCTGCTCCAGTACCCTGGTTTCCTTGAGGTTTCTCCATACTGCCAAGTTTATTCCCACCTCAAGATCTTAGCACTACACAGGAGAATGCTTTCCTCCCAAATACTCATGACTCATGCCGTCATTTTAATGAAGGTTCCGCTCAAGTGTCACCTCCTCTGGTCACCTTACCTTGCCTTTCTCCCCTTTCCTTACTGTCTTCATAGGACTTGTCACTACCTAATATCATCTTGCTCGTACACTCAGCATAAGCTCACAGAGGACTTTGTGCAACGCTCTATCCTTAGCATCTGCAACAGTGCCTGATACAGGCTGGAGATTCAATAAAGGTTTGTAAATATATGAATATTGAATCCTTCCCTCCTCCTCCTCATCTCAATTTAGGACACAGAACAAGAGGGTTTGCCTGTAAATGCCAGTGACCAAATGCAGATATGAACCCCAGCTGTGAGAGGGTTGGCTCCACAGGACAAGACACAGTGAAGCTCATCCTGAAATGCAGACAGAGCTCTTTCTTAAAAAGACTATGCCTTATGGGTTGCCATTATTAGCTTACAGTTAGCAAAACGCATTCGTAAAGAGAAAAAAAAAAAGGAAAAACCTAAAAATTAGATTGATATACATAAGTGAAAAGATAAATCCACTGAAGGCCTGTGGTAGATTGAGATATTTTTCTCAAATATTTGCTCCCCTCTACAGGACAGGACAGCCCTACCCACTGCTATGTGCCTTGCAGTGCCCTCCTAGAGACACTTTGAGGCTCGGCTATGATCTGGTAATGTTTTTTTCCTTCTTTCTTCACTTAGGTGTTGAAAGGTGTTGTCATACTGTAATCTCAAAAGTCTATAAAACATGGACTTCGTTTGGGTCAATGAGATATGAGTGGAAGGGACAAAAGGACAAAAGGACAACAGGAGCCGTTGGTGTTTCTGGGGCACCTGGGTGGCTCAGTCGGTTAAGCATCTGCCTTCAGTTCAGGAGCCTGCATCATGCTCCCTTCTCAGCAGGGAGTCTGCTTCTCCCTCTCCCTCTGTGTGAGCTCTCTCTCTCAAATAAATAAATAAATAAAATCTTAAAAAAAAAAAGTCATTGGTGTTTCCCACTAGTATGCTTCCTCTTTCTCTCCAGGAGGAGTATGACACGTCGCAAATGAAGGTTGGTCCATCTGCCTGGGTTGTAGAATGAGAAGTCACATGGGGCAGCACCTAAGCCAGACACAGGTGCTGACATATAATGTGCACAAGAAGTAAACTGAGATCTAGTGTGTTTGTTGCTAGAGACTGACTTAGCAAGAGCTGACTGCTGCAGTGCCTATTCGGTGAAAGGCAATAGAAATAGAAGTGGTATGGCACCCTCCCCCCCTCCACAAGCAGTGAATCCCACCTTCAATAATGGAAAACAGTAAGTTCAGCATACTGCCGAGAACAAATCTGAGACTGTTAAGTAAAATATTTGAATGAGGGACAGAGTATGGTTCCTATTAGTTTTCAGGGTTTGGTTAGAGTGAATGTGATTGATAAAATGATACTGTAAGTCTACTTAATGTACTGTAAGCCCTAAACACTGTTATCTTTAAACTTCCAGCCGGAGTAACTCATAAAGCATTTTGCACTGAATCAGCATATGGAAATCAACACCAGCAGTGTTGGGGGTTCCTTTAGCAAATACTGTCCCTGATATATTTATGTATAAACATATATATTTTTTAAAGAATTTATTTATTTATTTGAGGGAGAGAGAGAGAGAGAGCAGGAGCGCGGTGGGGGGGTGGTCAGGGAAGAAGGAGAAGCAGGCTCCCCTCTGAGCAGGGAGCCTGATGCAGGGCTCAATCTCAGGACCCCAAGACCATGACCAGAGCTGAAGGCAGACACTTCACCGACTGAGCCACTCAGTCGGTGTATTTTATAAGAGAGCTAAGAAAACTTAAGCTAAAGACATAAACTTGAAACTAAAAGGTAAGGATTTCATTCTGGGAGCTTGGAGTTGGTTACAGTGGGAGGTAGGAATCAGAGAAGACAAACACCGTGGTTGGGACATACAATTTTATAGAAAGGATTCAAGCAGACTCCTTATTTTTTTATTTTTTCAAGCAAACTCTTTAGCTTGAAATGTCCTTACCTATCACCCAACTCTGTCTGTTAGAAGCCTTCTCATGTTTCATTGTCCATCTCAAATGCCTCTTTTCTCACTCAAACTTCCCTAATGCCATCAGCTGGAATTAATTTTGCTGTTCCTCCTATTTTCATATCCTATTATGCCTACACCAAAGGTGCACTGAATATA